CTGTGTCATCTATGTAAGTAAGTGCGATGCTTATGAGCAATCAACTGAGCGTAAAACAGTGGGTGTGCCATGGAATTGTCTATCTCTGTGAAGTATGTCATGTTATTGAAAAGGCTGGGAACCGCTGAGATAATTCCAAGACTGAAATAACATCATGCTTACCACTTTCATGATAGATTTCTCCCAGGCAATGGCCTTCTCGAGTTGTTGAATGCACATGAATACCTGAGCAGCATTTGTGCATTTCAGTAAGGTTTCTCGCCACACACTCAAGCCAGGAGAGATGTGCCCTTCGTTGCTGTGTGAAAGACACAAAGAAAGCCACTCAGTTCACTGTTCACTGAATGCCTCCGCTGCCACAGAACAGGTGAATGATCTCCCCTGCTAAGACATGAAATATTCTTATGCAACCTTCATACATCTTTAACAATAACACCATATGGAAGTCAAGCTCTGAACCTCCCCTGCAAAGTCAGAGTGAAGTCCAGGCCAAAAATCTAGCAAGTTTCCTGAAACATCCATGCTTCTGAATAGCCCTGAAGTGCTTGTTAGCCTACATTTCAGAGGTGAGAAACTATTGGGTGGGCTCCTGTGATTGTCCCAAACACACTGGCAGCACAGCGGGACCCGAACTGCCAACAGGTACTTGGGAAATTTAGGCCCAGACTGTAGCTACATATTGCAAATATTGACAATATAAATTACCTGTACTGTTTAGCATCATTGACACCCTCTGCAGAAGCAGAACTCACTGTCCCTGCGCTCTCCAGTTTCCCTGAAACTGGTGGACACAGTGGTTCTTTCAGATATCGCCGCTCTACGTTTAATTCTAATGTTGCCAAGCGGGTTACAGCCAAATCCAGGGGGTTGTTATTCCGTCGCATTAACTCCATCTCCTCCTCATCTTTCATTTTCCCATCACCTGAGGTGAGCCACTGCTGATCGAAATACACCAGGTCATCTCGAGTAGAGTCGGTGTCTGGACTGGTCCACCCCTGTGCAAATCAAACGCATTGCTCACTGCTCATGCAGAAATATAATACAGGTCAGTGAGGGTGTTGTGGGGGATAGTGCAATCTGATAACACCGTGTCCTGCAAGTGGAAAACTTGAAATGTTCACAGTACCTGACCCATTGCGTCATAGCCCAGTTACATATATACTGCAGTCAGTGAGTAGGGAACTAATGGTGGAAACCGGTGTCATTTAAGTCCACGTAATGTGGAAAAGCATAGCCCTCCTTGGGCCTCATAACATGCCCCTCCATGTTTTTGTACCCACTCCATTCTTTCATGTCAAATGAGTGACTAACTCTAAGAGTTCTGCAATCATCAGCAACTCCTAACTAATTCTCAAACTAATTCTCTCAGGCTGTTTAAACCGTGAAACGTTTCACCTTTCTCACTATTCCCTACAATCGGGTCTTAAATTCACTCTTGTTTCCCTATTAACCTTACTTTCTTGATCCCTCAACGGTGACACCAGGGCCCTGTGATCTTTCAACTATGGCACCAAGGTCTTGTCTCTTCAGCAGGATTTATCATCAACAAATTACTGCTGCTTACCTTCACTGTACACAATCTCCTGGTGGATTGTGTTTGAACCCGAATGTCTTGCAACTCAGCATTATCAAGATTGAAGTCACCTTGCTCAGGCACCACCAGAAACTCCATGCCTCAACCGCAATTCCATCCCTCTTCCTGGATGCCCACTATCCATCAAACTTGTTAGCCCTTGCTCTCCGTCCTCCCACCTATTCTAATCAACTCACGCAGAACACTATCAAATCCATTCTTTCCTGCACCAAACTTGACTGCCCTGATCATTGCTGCCTTTCATTCCCCAAGACATCGATTTCAATCCCCTAAGCCTCATCTACAATTCCTTCCTCATCTCTCCTCCACATTGTGCAAGCTCTTGCAGTTCTTTCTGCCCACACCCTCTCTGTGCAACACTCCTTCCCCGCAAGGCAAATCCTTCTGCCACAGTCTGGAACTCAAAGACCCCAACTCCAAGCACATCCATATTAGCACATCTCCACCTTGCTTTCAAAATCCTTCTTAAAATCTTCCTGTAATAATACTGTTGGTCATCTCCCTCAGTTCTCCTTCTTGCAAGCTGCTGGGATCTGGCTCCGAAGGACTGCAGGATGTTCTGCACTGCTAAAATGTTCAAATTAAATAAGAGTTGTTGTTATGTGTGGAACATGTAATTTTTAAACTGGAATAAGGAATTCTGAATTAGTAATAGTTTAATTATTGCTCTATCCTTGTGCAGCAACAAGTCTTTGATTTCCTAAATTGAAAGACATAGTAGGCCAGTGTCAGTTAGTGTATGATTGTTCAGTTTGTCCAGGGCATACTGTAATCATTCAAGATTAGTGTCTGATGGGACTTTCTTACCTTCACCTGCAGACTTGCAGATATTACTCTCTGCTCCAGTGCCTCAAGGTAGCGCAGAGCTGCAAGATCAACTGGAAATGCCCACTTCTCTGGCTTCCACTTCTCCACCATTTCCTTGGTAACGGAATGTTCCTGGTCATTATTGTTAAAGATGGAATCTGAGAAAGGAGTTAAATCAGGGACTTAAATACAGTCAGTACTACTATAATATGATAGTTGTGTTTCTACGCAATATCGTGTTATAGAAAATCGTGCTACAGAAATAAATGGGGCCTTTCGGAAAAGTGGAGTTAGGGGTAGACCACCAAAAAATACACTCAAAATCATTCAAAAATCACTCAAATGTCTAACACAATGTAGTCACAACAAAGCCCATGAAATGATCATGTGATGTCAACGCGTACTCCTCCATGCACTGATGGAATCATGTTATAGCCAACACAAGTTTGCATTTGAGAAATAGTATTCCCCTATTTGTCAGTCACATTACAGACAATTCGTGTTGATGGAACATGCGTTATAGCAGAACTGACTGGAGTTAAATAGATCTGGGGGGTTATTGGACTCAACACCCGTGTATTACTGAGGAGGGAGAATAGTTCTGAGTTTAGTGTCTGATTACTGTTCAGGAATCCCTCCCTATTCAAACTATTTAATGACACTCACTAGCCAAATTTTCATATGAGTAATGCTGACTAGGTTAGACCCGTGGCAGCTAGGGAACTGTAGCCCATAATAGTCAGCACCTTTGGAAAATGAGATATTAAAACAACTGCATAGAGAACTTGCAAACATTATAGATACATTGGCTGGGCAAATATGAAAAGGTAAAACGTATTCTGAAGAAAATAGCACCCACTATCATCGCAGTAAGCCTTGGCTTTGCAAAAGTATCAAATGTAACAGGATCTCTGCAATCCTATGCACCAGTATGAGCCCTACCTTTCTTCTCTCTCATACAAGCTTGACTGACATAGTCCATATGTTTGAGGAGCTGTTTCTGTAAAGCCTTTTCCCGTAGCCCCCGTGGATGAAGGGCTTTAAGCAGGCAATTTAGCTGCTCCAAGTTGTCAATGTGCCACCAGCCTTTCTGCATCTCTACAAAAGAAAGAAAATACAAGTGAATCATTGGAGCTGCAGATCAGAGCGTCTCTAATAGTGGGAACAATATTGAAATATTGCTCTTCAATCCTAATGCTTCCATATAAACAAATGCGATGGTATTGTTTGCTTTCCAAATGTAACATATCTGAAGTTAAACCAGCTTCTGTAACATCCACATGGCTGACAGGCATGATCATCTATCTGACAACTTTAGAAAATGGTGTAAAGTGTTAACCTATGTAGAGTTTAAAAAGTTGAATTTCTATAGGGCTTACACAACTTCTCAGAATGTTCCAAAGTACTTTACAGCCAATTAAATATATTGTATAATGTAGTCACTGTTGTAGCAAACATGGCAGCCAATTTGGGCATAACAAGTTCCTACAAACAGCAACGTGAGAATTATCTGATAATCTGTTTATGTGATCTTAATCCTGGGATAAATAAACACATGAATTTTTCTCTAATTTCAGGTTCTGAAGAACGGTCATATCGGACTCCAAACATTAACTCCATTTCTCTCTCCACACATGCTGCCAGACTTGCTGAGTTTCTCCAGCATTCTTTGTCTTCGTTTCAGATTTCCAGCATCCACAATACTTTTGCCTTTATTAACCTAGGGATAAATATTGGCCAGGACTCTGGGGATAACTCCCCTGAAAAAGTACCGCAGGATCTTTCAGTTCCACCTGAGAGGATGGATGGGCCTTGGTATAAAAGCTCATCCAAAACAACAACACCTCAACAGTGCAGCATTCCCTCAGCACTGCACTGGAGGGGCAGCCTGGAATTTTATGCTCAAATTCTGGGTGTGCTACCCACTGAGCTGACACCTTAGAGCAGGAGTTAGTGGTTAGTTTGATTGATGGCTATCACAACTAAACAAAGAGATGAAAAGTATACAGTTAATGGCAGGACCCTGAACAACACTGATGCACAGAAGGATCTTGGGGTTCAAGTCCATAGTCCCCTGAAAGTAGCCACACAATGCAATAGGGTGGTAAAGAAGGCTTATGGCATGCTTGCCTTTATTGGTTGGGGAATTGAGTACAAGAGTCAGCTTTATAAGACTTTGGTTAGGCCACAGTTAGAGCATTGCATTCAATTCTGGTCGCCACATTACAGGAAGGATGTGGAGGCTTTGGAGAGAGTGCAGAAGAGGTTTACCAGGATGCTGCCTGCATTAGAGGGTATGAGCTATAAGGAGAGGCTAGGAAAACTCGGGTTGTTTTCTCGAGTGGCACAGGCTGAAGAGAGACTCGATAGAAGTCTATAAAATTATGAGATGCATAGATGGGGTTGATGGTCAGAATCCTTTTCCCAGAGTTGAAATGTCTAATACTAGGGGGCATGCATTTACGATTAGGGGGGGAAAGTTCAAAGGAGATGTGAAGGACAAGTTTTTTTTTGCACAGACAGTGGTAGGAGTCTGGAACGTGCTGCCAGGGGTGGTGGTGGAGGCAGATACAATAGGGCCATTTAAGGGACTTTTAGATAAGCACATGAATATGCAAGGTATGGAGGGATATGGACCAATGGCAGGCAGAAGAGATTCGTTTCATTTGGCGTCACGTTCGGCATAACATTGTGGGCCAATGGGCCTGTTCCTTTGCTGTACAGTTCTATGTTCTAGGGAGAGCACTACTGAAATTCCATGTTGGCACTTGATAGTATATTTTTATCGTGGTATATTTGGTTACATGTTAAATCTGTACTGCTGCCTGGCTCTGCAATTCTGGCAAAGACAATTTGATCTAAAGGATAATCCTTTGCTTGCAGAATAGAAAATCTTGCAGAGAATCACAAATGACAAAACACTGAAGGAGGCCATTCGGCCCCCCATGCCTGTGCTGGTTCTTGAAAAGAACTATCCAATTAGTTACACTCCTCATGTAAAACTAGCCCCTTTAACTATTTATCCAATTCACTTTTGCGGTGTGAGCAAAGTTTCAGAGAGACTTTTAAAAAGACTCTTAATACTGAAGAAAAGTGTGCTTTAAAAAGCCAAACATGTAACAAATAGCTTAGTGATAAATTCACCAGCAAATATTGAACCATACATACTAGTTTGATGTGAAAGAGCTGCAATAATACTGCTGTCCAATAGGAATGGACAGTGACTCCTGACCCAGGCTTTACATAAAGCGTTAAGGTTGCCTAGTTATCAGAATAAAGTAAAAACTTTTCAAGCAAAGCAAGTTAAAGAAACAACATCATCTCGTTAATTTCTTATACAAAGTTCTGGTCTACTATCTGAAAATATACACAGATTCAGAAAAGTTAAAAACAATCAAATATATATTTATGGTTCATGGTACTATACAGTTATGTAATAGAGGCATTAGCCACAAATGTGGAGGAAAGTGTGACAAAGGCGGAGGAAAGTGTGACAAAGGCATGTCTATTAGTTGTGGGTCAATGCGTAGCATTCCAAAGATGAAGGCCCTTTCTACAGTACAACATCCAGTACAGAGCTGCACTGTCAAGACTGCTTGTTTTCAGATAGGTTTATTAAACTGCTGCCCACACCTTCAGGTGAATGTAAAAGATTCTGTGCCTTGAAAAGTAACAAAGGTTTCATCAATGTCTTGAGACAATACTTTTCCTTGAAAGTTATCACTAAATTAAGCTTTTTAAACAGGTCTTTATCACATTGTTTACTGTGGGTCTTTGCTGTGTACAATTGGCTGCCATATTTCCTACATTACGATACACTTCAAAAGTACTTGATTAGCTCGAAAAGTGTGTTGGGATGTAGTGACAGCATGAAAGAACAAAACGAACAGGAGGAGGAATAGGCCCTTTGAACATTCACTGATCCATTGATCATTCAATACAATCATGGCTGATCAATTACATCCATATCATCCTCCCACAGCATGCCCACATCCCTCAATTCACTTCATAGCCAAAAAGCCATCAATCTCTGTCATTCTTCTATACTCCAGGGAATATAGGCTCATTCTCCTCACACTGTGTTCAAAGGAGAATCTCCTCATCCCAGGAATCAGTCCACTTTATTGCATTCTCTCCAAGGCAAATATCCTTCCTTTGGTAAGGAAACCAAAACTATACATTGTACATCAGTTACCAAGGCCTTGTGTAAGGTTAGGAAGGCTTTTTGACTCTTATATTAGGCACCATAAAAATGTAGGTCTGTCTTTTAAAATGGAAAGCCACAGTAATTTTACAAGGCTTAGCTCCCAGCCTGCAGCTTTGTCTGTGACAAACGTGAGTGCTATTGACAGAATTAGCCCTGTAGCGTTATTAGCCTTAGAATTAGCTTAATAGCAGCATAATTCCCTTGTTAATTCCTGCTTATAAAAGTCAATTTAGTGAAACCATAATATATATTTAAATGAATGATGACGAGTGATTGGAAGTGAGTAAAAGGCTGTAATTTAATGTCACAAGTTTTCTACAAAGCAATCAATAATTATTCATACTAAGAACACTATTCACAATAACGGTTTTAGGCACCATTTAAACATGATGTTAATTTACAGCATAACTGTTCCTCACACACAAATAGATGGACAGACTGGGTTAAGTTTAAGAATGAGGATGTTGGAATGTGGGGAAGCACATAAAATGGAGGTTTACAAAACAAGAATGGATTTATACACAAACTAAATTTATCACTAACAGACTTGAAAATTGTGGAGATATGTAACACATAATTCCTTGGGGTCACCTGTAGAAGACATATTTGCTCATAAAATGGTTAGTTTTTAATCCAAATCTGCTGATGATACCAAAATTGGTGGGAGGGAATTTTGTGATGAGGACATAAGGAATCTGCATGGGGATAGATAGCATAAGTGACTAGGAGATGGAGTTTAATATAGGAGAGTGAGAGGTTATGCACTTTGGTAGAATGAATCAAAAGGCAGACTATTATTTAAATGGAGAGAGACTTCTTAAAAAAAAGTGCAGCGCAGAGGGATCTCTGTGTTCTTGTGCATGAAACACAAAACATTAGCATACAGGTGCAGCAAGTCATTCAGAAGGCAAATGAAATTTTGGTTTTTATTGTTGGAGGTTAAATTTTAAATCTAGTTACAACTGTACAGGATGTTGGTGAGGTTACACCTGCGGTACCGTGTTTCTTACATACAGTGACCAAAACTGTACAATGTACTCGTATTGGAGGCAGTTCAAAAGAGTTTCACTAGGCTGATTCCTGGGATGAAGGGTTTGACTTATCAGGTAAGGCCTTTATTCATTAGAGTTTAGAATAATGAGGGGTGATCTTAATGAAATGTACAAGATTCTGAAGGGGCTTGACAGGGTAGATATTGAGAAGGTGTTTATACTAGTGGGCTCATAGTTACAGAATAAAGGGGCATTCATTTAAGAAAACGTGAAGAGATTGCTTCTCCCGGAGGGTAGTGAATGTCTGGAATCCTCTACCCCAGAAAGTTGTGGAGGCTAGATCACTAGGTATTTAAAGAAGACGTAGAGAGGTTTTTTGAAATATCAGACAGTTGAGGGCTACAATAAACTGGCATGAAAATGAAGTTGAGGTCTGGGGCAGATTAGCCACGGTCTTGTTAAATACCGAGACAGATTTGAGGGGTTGAATGGCCTACTTCTGCTCCTATTTCTTATGTTATTATGCAGCATTTTCCAAGGTGGTCAACATCTTCGTTTTGTTTTTTTTTTGGTAGCTGATTTCAAAGATCAGTGTTGGAACAGGGTCTTCAGAAATAGTGCTCCACACAAGCACCATTTCTTAGTGGGAGCACTCAGTATGAAAATGAGTTCTTGAGGTCACTTAACAGCGATGTAACTTTGCAGCTTTAAAAGATTATGGCAAAATAATCATCCTTCATGGCACTCTTTAACAATCTTAGCTCCCTCCCCCAATAAGACAAAGTGACATTTGACTTGGAGCAAGCATCTCACCTTCTGGAATAGGTTTTAGTTGACGCTGATTCATCTCTTTCTGCAATTTTGATGGTCGTCCACGACGCCGAGGGATCCGTGGCAAAAAGCATACATTCTGAGGAGCACCATCACAATGATGAGACTTGACCTTCGCTTTGGTCGCAGTAGGGCCAACTTCAAAAGAAGCGGCGATCGGGGTCTTGCAAGGAGTAGTGGGGTCCATCGAGTCTGCAGACTGTCCATCAAATGTAACATCCAGACATGGCATCAGGGAAAGCAGAGGAGAATGAAGAGAGTGGTGAGCAGAGTCATGTACTGCTAAAAACCTAGGCTGCACCATCACACAGGCCCCAAAAGGAGAATCCACAAGAATACTTTGGACTTTATTTTCATTGGTTCATCCATTATAAAATATAAAGGCTTCCCCACATGGCAGTATTGAGTTTTTAAAATTCAGTTGTGGGATGTGGGCATCGCTGGCTGGCCAGCATTTCTTGCCCGTCCCTAGTTGCCCTTGAGGTGGTGGTGGTGAGCTGCCTTCTTGAAATGCTGCAGTCCAGAGCGAAGGCACTATTTACACAAACCGGAGGGGCCCCAGGTTTGGTTTCTGTTCTAACTTAAATTTCAGACAACCAGCAGTTGGGGCCTCAATGCTCTGGGCTGGGGAACCAAAAGATAACAGTCAGGGCAGTAACCATTCATGGAAACAACTGGTATAGTTCAAGAAAGTAGAATTTGTTGGGCAACCAAAGATTGGCAGTAAATAGGACCTTGCAAATAAAAAATGATTGTGGGCAAGATTGACCTTTGGGGGAGAAAAATACAAGACATGCCAGTACTGTGAATCTGGCTATGGAGTAAGGCTTGCTGACACATTGGCTAGACAGACATCTCAGGAATGGATACTTGGGTGTAGTACCGGAGATCAGCATGAAGAACTCTCCGGTCGGGTGTGACAGGCTGTGGTGTAGAGGACAGCTCCTTCTACAGTGAACCCACAATTTGCCAATCCCATTTTCATGAAAGGACTCCCTGCTTCTGACATGTACTGACCATTTACCATGCTTTGTAAATCAGGCTTTTACTTCCTCACCACCCTTTTTACTTTTCATGTTAATGTGCTTTCCTTCTTCTGCTGGAGGTGTTTAGTGCATTCCTCTTCCACAGTTCCCTTCTCCACCTTTCTCATGGACCAATGCATCATTTGTGACTTTACACAGCAAGAGATCAGCAGGGCTGACAGCTTTGTAGCTACTAAGTCAGCTCATCGGCATAATTGCTGTATCATTCCAGGATTTTATGATTGCCCGACATCACTCACTCCTTCCAGCAGAGGTTGCTAGATAGTCTCTGAGAGTTAGTTTTCCACTGTCCCCTCCTACACCCGCAGTTAACTCTGTTCTCAAATTTCTTGGGCTCTATTGCGCTGTATTCATTGCTTTAATCAGCTGGATCACTCGAAGGTGAATCAGTCAGTCTCACCAACAGAACAAAATTCCACATGGCAGCAGTTGTTACCAGGCAGCATGGTGGCTCAGTGGCTAGCACTGCTGCCACACAACACCAGGGACTTGGGCTCGATCCCACATTCAGGTGACTGTTCTCCCTGTGTTTGCATGGGTTTCCTCTGGGCGCTCCAGTTTCCTCCCACAGTCTAAAAATGTGGAGGTTAGGTGGATTGACCATGCTAAATTGCCCCGTAGTGTACAGGGATGTGGAGGCTAAGTGGATTAGACATGGGAAATGTGGGGTTACACAAATAGAGTAGGAGGGTGGGTCTGAGTGAGCTGTTCTTCAGGGGTTCAGTGTGAACTCAATGGGCTGAACAGCCTGCTTCCACACTGTACGGATTCTGTAATTCTATATCATAGAGGATGTACTATAATCATACTTGACAGCTTTGAAGAGGTGTACTGTATCTGATGTTCTAATGAGTCACCAGACTCAAAACGTTCACATTGTTTTCTCCCCGCAGATGCTGCGAGACCTGCTAATTTCTCCAGCAATTTCTGTTTTTATTATTGTATCTAGTAATTTCTATTGGGTAACTGCTCAGTTTTCTTGTTTTAATTCAGGTAGAAGGTGCTAATCTTGAGTTATATAACACCTCAAATTTTTGTCTCTGGTGTCAGACACATGCCCAGATCAGGTATGAACTTCAGCTAAATAAGCACATAAGAACTGGGGCCTGCTGTGTTCATCCAGCTCTACACTTTGTTATCTCAGATTCTCCAGCATCTGCAGTTCCTACTATCTCTGAAACATAAGAAATAGGAGCAGGATTAGATCATTTGGCCCCTCGAGTTTGTTCTACAATTCAACACGATCATGGCTGATCTTTGGCACCAACTTCTCTTTTCTGCCCACTCTCCACGTCCCTTGAAATTTTATTTACTTGTTCATGGGATGTGGGTGTTGCTGGTTAGGCCAGCATTTATTGCTCATCCCCGATATTCGTGGAGAAGGTGGTGATAAGCTGCCTACTTTAACTGCTGCAATCCATGTGGTGTAGGTACACCCACAGTGCTGTTAGGGATTTTGACCTAGAAAGAGTGACAAAACAGCGATATAGTTCCAAGTCATATAGTTCCTTTCCCACCCTGGCTATACTCTCTTCCACCTTCTTCTGTCAGGGAGAAGATACAAAAGTTTGAATACACATACAAATAGATTACAAGAACAGCTTCTTCCCTGCTGTCATCAGACTTTTGAATGAACTTCTTGAATGTTAATTTTGATCTCCCTCTCTCTCTGCAGCTGTAACACTGTATTCTGCAATTTGTTCTGCTACCCTGAAGCACTTTGAATGGTACGATCTGCCTGTATAGTACGCAAAACAATACTTTTCACTGTATCTCGGTACATGTGACAATAAATCAATCAAGTCAGGATGGTGTGGGGCTTGGAGGGGAACCCACAGGTGGTGGTGTTTCCATGTATCTGCTGCCCTTGTCTTTCCAGGTGATAGAGGTTGGAAGTTTGAACAGCGCTTTTGAGGGAGCCTTGGTAGACTACCGCATTATATCACCGCTGCCACTGTGTGTCAGTGGTGGAGGAAGTGACTGTTTCAGGTAATGAATGGTGTGGCAATCAAGTGGGCTGTTTTTCCCTGGATGGGCTGAGCTTCTTGAGTGTTGTTGGAGCCACACCCATCCAGGCAAGTGGGGAGTACTTCATCACATTCCTGACTTCTACCTTGTAGATGGTGGACATGTTTTGGGGAGTCAGGAGGTGAGTTACTTGCTGCAGGATTCCTAGCCTCTGACCTGCTCTCATGGCCACAGTTGCTGGTGAATGGTAATCCTCCCCCAGGCTGTCGATAGTGGGGATTCAGTGGTGGTAATGCCATTGAATGTCAAGGGAAGATGTTTAGATTATTTTGTGTTGGAGGTCGTCCATTTATCCATACTCTGCTTCTGTCTATTAACCAATCCCCTATCCATGTTAATATATTACTCTGTAAATCTAATGAGCCCATATTTTGCATATTAATCTCTGGTATGGCAACTTGTCTAAAGCTTTTTAGAAATCCAAGTATACAACATTTATTGGTTTCCCTTTATCTACAATCCCCCCACTAGTTACATCTTCAAAAAAAACTCCAAACTTATCAGACATGATTTCGCTTTTATAAAACCATACTGACTTTCTTTGAACATACTATGGTTTTATGAGTATATTGTTAAGAGTTCTTCAATGTTCGAATAAAGCTACTTTCAGCATTTTGACTCTGCCCAAAAAATGTGCCATATTTAAAGAAAGATTCAGTATTGAACCACTGAACATTTTCCCTTCCCTGCACGAGTCATCATTCAGGCTTTTCCGAGTGAGGTTAGTCATTAAATGATGTTTGGGTAATTATGTAAAGCCCACTAGGAGCTGGACTGAGACAACCCAAATGCAGTTAGTACTCTGGCAGTTATCAGTCTAGCCAAGACTCAGAGGTCAAAGGCCACCACTGAGTCAGTCAATGTTTAAAAAAAACTTCATTTACATTCACATTCTTCCTTTTCCCTCCAGCACCCAAAACAGCAAAGCAAATACCTGTGACGTTGCAAACTCTGGAGACGTAAGTAGCTTTAGTCCATCGTGGTTCAGCTGACATGGATCGGAATCCAGTCTCTGGGATTGGTTCTGTTGTGAAGAAGATGGCAGATGGGTAATCGATGAAGAATCACAGGGTGTTCTGGGTAAAAGGCTGAACCACTGTCCATGTTTCTCGGCACACTCTTTGACACTTTGCTCTGAGTTTGGGATGCTGAGATCAAACAGCTTCCGATTGCTGGCCAGCAGCACCTCTGGAGAGATAGCACTAGGGCTATCTTTGTTAGAGCTGCAGTGAGGTGTAGGAAGGGAAAGGTTTGACACAGAGTTCTGTAGGATGCTCAGCCAGGCTAAAAAAACACCCGACTGGTCAATGTTTTGAGGAGTGTGACTGCTAGAATGGGAGTTTTGTATAGCATCACTGGAATGTTTGGCATATGCAGCATCTTGCAACTTTGGATTCTCTGGGTTGACCAGTTCAGCGTCACATGTTCCCTGCCGGTTATCTACTGGCTGACCCAGAGTGGTCGGATTCTTGTCAGGTATCTCGCTAGCCTCCACTTTAACCAGGGCACTCTCCAACAGCTTGCATTGGTTCTTTTCTGCTTCCAACTCTTCAGTACCTGAAAGGGGGGTCAAGATTGAAGTATGACATTTCCTCAACAAAAATACATCATGTAGATCACAACGCTGAGAAATGGATATTCTTGACTGAATATGCCCAACAAGTGTAGAGTTCAAACCCTAAATTTCCTCCTTCCCAAGCCTGCTGTTTAAGCCTTTTCGTTACAATTGTCATCCCTCCTCTTCTAAGAGCAGTAATTCATGCCAGGGCACATTTTGATGGGCAAAGTTCTCGTCAAATACAGGTGTATGGAGATTGGTTGAGATTAAAATTGGGCTCATTCTAATGCCTCTCAGTGTTAAAATTGTGCCAGCACTTACTATGCCTAGACCTGGCACAGACTTTACACTGTCATGATTACTTTGTCATCAAAGGTGACGGGGCAGTGGGGTAAGATATCAGAGGGGACATCTGGAACTTTGGCCCAGCAGGAATTGGTGCCTTTGGTTCAGGAGCCGGGAAGGGCAGAAGAAAGGAGAGAACATTAGACAATAAATGGATCAGATCATCAATTTTGGTGGAAAAATTATAGAAAAGCATCTCACAGATCAAATTTCCTGAAATGGAAACAGTATTTTGCCGTAAGAATGCACCCACTTAACTATTTATTGCAAAACAGTTGGCACTGTCAGTCTTACCTAGTGAACCCTCAGAGCCTTCCACAAATACCCCACAGAGATGGGGAAAAACCCAGTAACGACGCCTGAAACGGTCCTGCCCCAATAACAAGGCACGTAGTGTCTGGGAGACTTGAAGCAGCTTCCGCGCAAAAAAACTTTGTCGCTATGGAAACAAGCAATCATGACATTGATTACCAAACAACAATAACATTCACTGCTGCTATGCTGCAGTGTAAAGGAAACAGCTCTGATCACTTCACAGGGAGAAGAAGATGGACAATAAGCAAAGGAGATAAAAATCACTATGTTTGTATGTGGGTGTATTTGTGCACCTGTTTACATGTTCGTGAACAAGCACTGAGAGGATTTTTAAGGCTCTTGATAATGGCACTCGGAATTAAGGGTAATTAATTGCATGGATAGAGAGATAGAGGCCAGAAAGCAAATCGTGAGGATAAAGGAGACTACATCAGAAGTGATGAGCAATGTCATGCAAGGTTTTATGTCAAGCATGCTCTTGTGCACTCTGTACATAACTAAGTGAGATTGAGAACTGAAGAAAACAAGGTCAAAATTTGCTAATGAAATCAAATTGACTTAGCATATTGTGATGATGCCTATTAAATATTGTAGCTTTTAGAGCTTGCTTATAGAGAAGATGCAGTGTAAATTCAATAAGATGTTGCCAGTGATGGAGGAGTTACAGTTGCAAGGAAAGATTCAAGAAGGAAGGTTTTTTTTGTAAAGAAGTAGCTCATTGGGAGTTGAAAGATAACCCGATAATAAGAACATACAAATCAGGAGCTGGAGTAAGCCATTCAGTTCTTCAAGTCTGCTCTGCCAATCAATATAACTGATCTGATTACAGCCTCAACTCATGGTCCTCGCGCATGAATTGTAAAAGGTTAGTTATGCAGGCACAGCAAGTAATTAGGATAGCTAATTGATTGGGCAAGGAACTGAATACATAGGTAGGGAGGACAGGACATTGGTGAGGCTGCATTTGGAGTACTGTGCACGGTACTGGTCTCCTTATTTAAGGAAGGATGTAAATGCTTTGGAAGCAGTTCAGCGAAGGTTTAGGAGACTAATACTAGGGAAAGAGCAGGTAGCATTTTTGTATAAGGAAAGGTTAGATAGCATAGGGCTTGTATCTGCTGGAGTTTAGCAGAGCAAGAAGTCTTGAAAATTTGATTGAAAAATGAAAGTTATTGAGGAGTATTGAGGGGGATGTGGAGACAATATTTCCTCTGATGGGAGAATCAAGAACTAGGGGAGTCACAGTTTAAAATTCAAGGATCGTCCAATTAAAACAGAGATGGGGCAAAATATTTTCTCTCAGTGAGTTGAGTCCTTGGAAACTTCCTCATGAAAAGGTCGTGGAAGCAGAATTTTTGACATGTTTAAGGCAGACATACATAGATTCTTGTTAAACAAGGGGTTAAAAGGTTATCAGGGAGGTGGGAATGCAGATTTAAGGCAATAAGCAGATCAGCTCTGATCTTTGTAAATGGCAGAGTAGGCCCGAGCAGCTGAATGGCCTTCTAATTCATATGTTCATGTATTCAAATAACTCCCACTTTTCTGCTGCACTCCCCATGCCACCACCACTACCATCTAACCCTTGACTCCCTTGTTATTTAAAACTTGGTCTGCCTCAGCCTCAAATATATTCAATGACCTCCACTGTTCTCTTGAGTAGAGAATTCCAAACAATAACAACCCTCTTTAAGTAAGGAGACCAAATAAGTAAGGAAACCAAATTGTATGCAGTACTGTAAGTGATAAAGGTCTTCAAAATTATCATAGGATAAACACTGATACTCTCTTTCCCTGGCTGAATGATTTGAATTTTCTACCTCAAACCATTACTGAAGCAGAGCCTATGCTTTTTAACATTCTACAGATTGATAATTACTTACCTTACTGAGTTTCTCAATCTGACGATTTAATTCAGCCACACTGGCAGAAGGATGATCATCCATCTAAGAAGGGCAGTTGAGAGGCATACATTAACAGCAAGAACTAACACATACACCATCTTATTTATTGTTTTAGACTCAATGCTTTTGCTGAAGATTTTTATTCTTAATTTTCTGACCCATCATTCCCTGCATCTCAAACCTTATCAATGCTGCTTGTGAACTGACCATGGAAAAGTGCTTATCAATTTGGATTAAATTTACAACATCATTCCCATGGGTCAGTAGGATGGCTGCTGTGTGTATAATGAATAAAATATTGTTTAGAAGCATTTGGAGGCTTCCTTATGTGATTCAGCTCAAGGCAATTGTTCAGACAGTGTAGAGAGATCTTTACTCTGCATCTAACCCCATGTTGTCCCTGTTTTGGGACTGTTTGATAGGCTCAGTGTAGAGACAGCTTTACTCTGTATCTGACCCTATGCATCAAAATTCACAGAGACCTGCAGTGAAGGGTGTTTTCAGGGGTTGGTGGAAGAGTGATTTCAGTTCACTTTTGTATACCTGACAGTACCAATCACAGACAGCCATTAAAGGAAGAGTTCCTATTTTTGCTGTGTCAGCTAGGTAAGGGATATTACATAAAAAGGAAGTTAGACAAGGGGCAAAGGAACAATTGGTGGTTTAAGGAAACAGCCCAAAATATAATTTAACCTTAATTGTTCCATCAGTCTTTCTTTCTGATGATTTATCTTTCGTTTCCTCCTTTGCACTCTCCTCAGACCTCATGCCTGCTGCTATACTGTTGTGGCCTTCTTCAGAACAGAGGCCTTGCTTTCTCCTCCTGCTGTCCACAGTGCTATCGGGCTGCCAAATTCCTTTCTTCTTTGCCAGAGCTCTTTTTAACCTAGCAGGAGAAATGAGCAATCAAAAAAAAAAGCCTTTCACCTCAGTTTGTGTCCTGTTAATGATATACAGGGAATGAGAGCCTAGAACTTGGTGATTGTCTGTAATGCAGTGTGGCAGGAGTGGGACAAGACCTTCACTTGTAGCAAGACTGACAAACAAAACAACTCATTGCATGTAAGTAACTTGAAATAATGCCAAGATGCCAGTTTCTCCCTGTCACAATCTGTCACAAGTGGAGGCAGTGGTGTAGTGGCAATGTCATTGGATGAGCAAACCCAGGCCAATGTTCTGGGGACATGGGTTTGAATCCCCCTATAGCAGATAGTGGAATTTGAATTTTTAAAAGAATGGAATAAACAGCTTGTCTAATTGCAACCATACTGATTTGACATTAATGTGGCTGACTCTTAACTGCCCTTTGGGTAATTAGGGATGGACAAAAAGTGCTGGCCTGGCCACTGATGCTTACATCCAGTGAACAAATTTAAAAAAAAATTCTTGGGCTAGTGCAAGGAATCCCATAATAAACTGTATGTGGGCTTAGGTTGGGGACAATTTGTCAACACACACGCGCACACAATAAAAAATCCTGGTTAATTTCTTTGCCCTAACTAATGGCTGTCGAGGCCAACTGTAATCAGCTCCCCCTGCCCTGCTGAGATCTGTCAACTCAGACCAGTGACTGAAGCCTTTTAGTGTATATGGCTCTGCAATGCTTCAGGTAACACATGACCCAGCAGGAGAACTGAGATGGTGATTTGTGACATCGTGAGAATTCTGGATTGGAGGGGACACTGAGCTTATGAAAAAGCTGAATTAACAGCTAGCCCTGCTGCAAAACTTGGTTAATGAGTGCATATGTAAGAAAGTACATATATGAGTTCAGATCCATCACACAGTAAGGTTTAATAATACCTAGGAAAGCAGCACTTGATGATGATTCATAACTTGAAAACTAAATAAAAATGATCAGAATAAGCAGGAACCAGAATACGTTCCGGGTTCACATGCATAACTCAGCACTCTGTTAAGTTGCAACAATCTTACTGGTGCCACCTGGGAAGAGATACTCTACACCAGAATGATTTTCATACCAAAGGCTCAGGGGCAGATTACAATTAAAAATCAAGGTCCAGTTATTGCAGCCTCCTTGTCATACATGCCACTGACTAGCTCAGGCACCAGGCTGCATATCACTCATTCATTTGCTGTTGATATCACCGCTTCAATGTTGTATTGGGACAAACAGGAAAGAGAATATAGATTAACATATTTTGTTTTCAGAATGAATTCCTGAAGTCCAGATCTACTCATTATGTTAAAACTTTTTTTGTGCTTCAAAAAGGACTGGAAATGGAATACCTTACCTCCTTAGTTTGCCATCCACGATCCACTTGTTCTTCCGAATGTTGGCACGATGATCTATGTTTTTATCTATTTCCCTGCACGGATCAAATCAAGAGCCACACTTTAATATCATAGCTTTCTTTACAGGAACACTTTGTATGTGGTCTTTCGCTTCTTTTTCTTGGTTATCCAGTTCCTCCTTCCAGGTTCTCCATTCCTATTGGTTGGTTTTGAGGGCAGCCATAAGGAGCATGGCCTAGGTTGGCTTCTCCTCCAACAGGCTCCTAACCCAACTTACAAAGCAGAAGGATATGGGCTCACACTCAAATTAGTTACCAATTTCAAGTGTGTTGGCACTAACCCAGAGACAAAATGGAAAATCAATTCAGTCACTGGAGCCTAGACACATATGAAAGAACAGCTCCAGAAGAGACACACAAACAGTTCTGGTAATTCGCATCAGAGCCAGCAAGAGGAAAAACTGACAATGATCTGTTAATCAGTACAGACGATGAAATAACCTTTCCTTGTTCAAAAAAAAAATGTCAGCAGAGCCAGTATTAACTGCTATCAATGGCTGGCTCTTCTGCAAGTTAAGCAAGTTCCACGTTTTGCTTCCTACCTTATCACTATGCTGCTCCCCAGCAGCTCATTGACGAGGAAGGCCAGCACTGCTGCCTTTTTCTCAGAGCAATGTGCTTGGAATGATTTGCTTTTCAGCCCTTCGCAGAGCTCTGCTTCAGCACCGTAAGCCTCCAGGAAAATCCGTAGCACTTCTGACACATTATCCCGGTTAATTCCAATGTCACAGATTCGCTCCCCAAGAAACGTTACGGACTAGAAAAGTGAAGGATTTGATTGGTTACACACCATATATGGGTAACCTACAACAAGTGCAAGCTTTTACAACATGTAAAATATAAGGCTTTCTACAGCTCAATATGCAGGACTATAGGTCATAGAACAGTAAAGCAAAGGAACGGGGCCTTCTGTGTTGACCATGATGCCATTCTAAACTTATCGTATCTGCCTGCATAAGTTCCGTATCCCTCTATTCCCTGCCTGTTCATGTGTCTGTCTAAATGCTTCTTAAACATTGCTATCGTATCTGCTTCTACCACCTCTCCTGGCAGCACATTTCAAGCACCTCCTGCTCTCCGTGTAAAAAAAACTTTCCCCGTACATCTCCTTTAAACTTGCCTCCTCTCACCTTAAACCTATGACCCCTAGTATTTTACATTTCCACCCTGAGAAAAAGACTCTCTATCCATGGCTCTCACGATTTTATATACTTCTATTAGGTCACCCCTCAGCCTCCTACACTCTAGTGAAAACAATCCAAAACAATTTTTAAAAAGCCTTTCACCTCAGTGTCCTGTTAATAACAGGCAAGGCATCAGAGCCCAGAGCTTCGCGACTGTCGGTAATGCAGTTTGGCAGGAGTGTTGCCACTTTCAGTGAGCCACGGACTTGCATCCACCCCAAGATCTGTCTGTGTATCAATGCTCCTACAGGTCCTGCCACTGCTGTATACTTTTCTTTTGCATTTGACCTCCCAAAATACATCACCAACTTTCCAACTGATCTGCATCTTTCGACAACCTTCCTCACTATCCACAACTCCACCAATTTTCATGTTGTCTGCAAACATACTAATCAGACCACCTACATTTTCATCCAAATCATTTATATATATTACAAACAACAGAGGTCCCAGCACTGGAACACCACTGGTCACAGACCTCTAGTCAGAAATATACCCCTCCAATACTACCCTTTATCTTCTATGACCAAGCCAATCCAACTTACCAACTAGTCAAGTGCCTTAGTAAAGTTTATGTAGACAACATGCACTGCCCTACCCTCATTAATCACCTTTGTCACGTCCTCAAAAAACTCAATCAAATTTGTGAGGCAAGACCTCCCCCGTACAAAGCCATGCGGACTATCCCTAATAAGTCCATTCTTTTCCAATAGTAGAATCTTGTTATACTGTAAGAGATTGCACAGGAGATAACACATAGGGTGAAGGCTTAATGCATAATAAACAACATTTGGAAAGTGCTTGACACAGGATAAAAGACTTGACTTATGGCTTGATGTTTTTTAAAAATACTCAATCTTGGGATGTATGCCTTTGTCAGGGCCAGCATTTGTTTCCAATCCTGAGCTACCCTGTTATATTAGATCATTACACAGACTGGAGTCTATTTCATACAGGCTGCAGGATTTTACACACATAGACCTCAGAGCCAGAGATATACAGTTACATGTCAGTAGCTTTTACATCCCCAGAGCATCCCAAACACACCTCACCCCTTAGACTGATCACTTTTGAAGTTCAGTCATTGTCGTTATGTCACCAAGTCAAAGAGGGGCAACCAAATGCTTGACCAAAAGGGTGGGTTTTAAGGAGGATCTCAGAGGAGGATAAAGAACTGGATAAAGGCACAGCCACCACCAAAGGGTTCAAGGAATTGGAGTGGGGTGTGTGAACAATGCACAAAAAGGTTGAAGTTAGAGGAGCAGACAGGTTGTACAGGGGGAATGGGGTTTGTAGGACTACAGCAGGTCACAGAGCTAAGAGCTGAGATCAACTCTGATTTGAAATTTCTTAATTAGAAGGAAGAATCTTTTGCCAATTCATCCTATCAAGGCCCTTCCTTATTTAAAAACCTCAATAAACTCTCTTCTTAGACTTCCCTGCTTCAGTGCAAATCAGATTTTCAAATTTCTCCATATAACTACAGTTTCCCATCTTTGTCATCATCCTGAAGAATTTACACTGTACAGTCTGTGTGACTTTAATGGCTGTGGCTCTCAAAACTGCATAGAGTAATCTTGCTGTCACTAACCACTGTCTTCTACTAACCGATTACTTTTTTGCCCTTGTACTCTTCTGTATGCTGTTACTGAATTTGTAAAAGCTAAAATGCTACAGTGCTTATGGTTTTACCTTTCTACACTTTCAGGGTATCATATATGCAAATCCTTTTCCACTGTGTATTCCTCATTCAAATATATTGCTTCACACTTTTCGATACAAAAAATTGTTTTGTCAACCAAAACATTTGCTATATGTTCACCCATTCTGCTTTGTTTTGGATGGCATCAAGTTTCTTGAGTGTTGTTTGAGCTGCACCCATCCAGGCAAATGGGGTGTATTCCATCACACTCCTGACTTGTGGCTTGTAGATAGTTGACAGGCTTTGGGAAGTCAGGTAGTGAGACTCTGTTAGGGTATGTAGCCTTGGACCTGCTCTTGTAGCCACTGTATTTATATGGCTAGTTCAGTTCAATTTTTGGTCAATGGTAGCTCTCAGAATATTGATAGTGAGGGGAATATCAGCAATGGAGTGATGGCTGGATTCCCTCTTGTTTGAGACGGTTATTTCCTAGTACGTGCATGGTACGAATTTTACTAGCCATTTATTAGCCCATGCATGGACATTTTCCAAGTCTTGAAGCATTTGAACATGCTTCAGTACTGCTTCAGTATCTGAGGAGTTGTGAATGGTGCTGAACATGGTGCAATCATCAGTGAACGTCCCCATTTCTGAATTTATGATGAAGGGAAAGGTTATTGATGAAACAGCTGAAGATGGTTGGGCCTAGAACATCTACCTAATGCCCACCACATACATAAAATTGAACACAACTGATATATAATTAACACTGTCCCCTGTGGCTACAGTATGTCCAACCCATTTCCAATCAGAGCTAAAACTCATTAACCCTAACCCACATTTCCCTAACTATCAGCCAGCTTTCTTTCTGTGCTGCTACATTTGGTTTTGCTGTAGAATTTGGAACACAATCACTGGTTCAGTCTCCATACCTGGTATTTATGTGGCAATCCTGGATCGAGCACTGCAATCTGGAGTAATCGAATCAGCAGGTCCTGGATATCAGCCATATTGTCTCCAACATTCAGCAGACCTTCCTGGAGTGTATTCAAGCTGGGCACATCCTTGCTGGTGTCAAAACCGAGCACCTTTCCATAGTTGTGCAAAAACTCAATGACTATGAGACAGTCAGAAAAGGCACGGCCAGAAAGCACCAGGCCTGGAATGGGGACAAACTCTGGTAAAGGCTGAAAGAAAAAGGGAGGAATATCTATGAATATGGCGGAGTTGCATCCACCATACCCAGGTAATTACACCATCTCCATCACTATACTGCTGTTGCCTGAGGCAACAGTAAACCTACAGAAATATATAAAGCAAAGTTAAACAGCTAGTTCAATATTTGAGTCCACCACAACTCTAAATTTACTTGCTTTTTTTTTCTCTTCCTTATTTGAGGGTACTGACTCATAGGGTGAAAGCACCATGGCTAGGTTTGCTAACCCTGGATTAATTCCTGGGGACACCAGGACACTTCATTTTCATTTCACATCCATCCAGGGTTGGCAACCACCTCTGGTATCTCTCCCAAGAAGCCATCCTCCATGTTTATGCCTCAAAAGTGAATAGTTAATAGAATTCTCAATGATGAGCATACCACAGTCAACAGCAATATCTGAGAAAAACCCAATGTTGTCTGCACATGCAAATCTTCGAGCATTGCATAAGTCGGTAGTGATCATTGCGTCTGAGTTTTTCCGCTCCTGACCTCGGGAATGCCGAGGTTGCTTGTACCTCCCCAGATCAGCCAATTCAGTCGCTAACTGGTGTGAGAGTAAATGGCATCAACCAGAAACGGTGCCAGGTTTGAATCCTGTTTTCTGGCCAGTTCACTGGTTTCACCTGAGGTACTGGTGTGGGCACCTGGAATAGGTTGTGGAACAATCAATCAGTCAGGGTTCCCAGTCCTCAGTCCTGAGTGACTCTCAGCAGGCATGTGTGTAGGGCAGGATCAGGCTCAGATGACCAATGCTGTTGAATGGCTAAGTGACACTTGCTTTCTAAGTTCCCAAACGATGCACAAACACTTAAATGAAGTACTAACTTCATTCACTAAGTCTGACGCTCAAATATTTTCTGACAATAAAATTGAGGGAAAATAGTGAATGCTTGGATTCATCAAAGGAGTAATCTCTGTTTTAAATATGAGCTTGACCTTTTCCTTTTGCAGTTAACTCTGGGTTTGGTCCAGGGTAGAGGCTTACCTTGTGATCAGTTAAATACAGGTCTTCAGTGGGTTTCTTCATCTCCTGCCAGAGCTGTAGCTTCTGCTGTTTCCCTTTCAGTTTCTGCTGTTTCTTCACCTGCTTGTCCTTCTGATCCTTTGTCACCCTTTGGGCTTTCTGCAGTTTCTGCTCTGGTTTTAGTTGAGTCTGTCCCTGTTGTAACAGGATGAAAAGAAAGCAGTAGAGATTCACTGCATCTTATCCTTGACAAATGTCACCCTCCAAATTGCGTTGACTCCTGCTGATACGCATGCACACTTGCTGTCCATTCTTCCCGTGTGAATCCAGGCAGAGGCTAGTGGCCTATTTGACTCTGAAGGCTTAACCCAATCTTGACCAAGGATTGCACCTTGAACCTTCAGATCTATATGGCTGCCACACGCTGTGCTTACCAACTGAGCCATTAAGGGAGTCAGACCACAAATACATCATCTGTTGAGAAGCCAGGAATCCCATGGGCATGATCAAATTAAATGGGAGAACAGGCCTGAGGGCCTGAATGGTGTCCCTCTGTTCTTGTGCCTGAGTTCTACTAGGCTCTGTATATACAGAGTTGTTCCAGCAAATGCAACAAGATCAGCAAAGTAAAACCAACTGATAATAAATTGTTACAGGGCCATGATTGTTAACAGTGATAAAGAACAATAGAAATTACAGATAATATGCAGCACACAAACTGACTACTCAATCCAATTAGTCCAGGCTGGTCATTAAAAGGCAATGCTCCGAATCTAACCAAGGCTTTTTTTTTGGGGGCGGCGGGGGTGCGCTGGCTACTGCTGCATTAATTACACTCTCTAGGTACTCAATACCACACTCAGTCCCTGGTTTGTGCTGAATTAACAGGTCTCAGCATGACTGGCCTTAGTATCTGGACACTAAAGCAAGACAGAAACAGCCAAAGCTGCTTCCTTATGCATTAGCCAGTACATATATACAGAATAGACCTTTGAGCTAAGTGGTAGAGAACTGGTAGCACCTGTGGACATGTATCCCAGTAAGTCAGGAGTTTCAAGAATGGATAGAAAAGGGCCAGCCTTATTTAAAGTGGATAAGTTCAAACATCTTCTGCTTACTATTTTATCCACTCTCAGAACCAATGTCAATCAGAATTTTCGAGTGGGGAAGAGAACAAACCAATGTACATTCTTCCTCTTTGCTTAGGATGTCAGAATCAGGTACTTAGCAACACAGGTTAGATACAAATCAGAGCTTTCTCTGGACTGCCTTAACCCCAATCCCAGAAAACAACCATAGAGTAACATCAGCATGGGAATTTACCACACAAGCTGCTCTTGCAGCTTCTCTGATAAGCTTGGCCAATTAGTGATAATTAGAACTGAATTCTGTTTTATTTCCAGCATACTCAGGTCTCCAGGCAACTGGGTAGATAGCGATCAGCCTGGGAGAATGAGTAGCTATCGATGGGGACTATTAGTAGCTAACAATGAGTTGTGTGTAATAGCAGACCATGTGATAACAAGGCCTGGTATGTGGGGGTTGAGGTAAGGACCTGGGAGAAAGTTGAGGAACCCAATATGGAGTCCAGAAGGCTATAGAGATCACAAGCAGAAAATGAGGTGCTGTTCTTCAAGCTTCGCTGGAACACTGCAGCAAGCCAGAGACAGAGATGTTGGCCAGGAAACACGGTGGTGTGTTGAAGTGGCAGGCAACAGGTAGCTCAGGGTCTTTTTTGCGAGCAGAATGTAGATGTTCTGCGAAGCAGTCACCTGTCTGTGCTTTGTTTCCCCAGTGTAGAGACCACACTGTGAGCAGCGAATGCATGAGACTAGATTGAGTGAAGTGCAGGTACCTACCTCTCCTGGAAGGTGTGTTTGGGCCTTGGATAGTGAGTAGGGAGGAAATAACTGGGCAGGTGTTACACCTTCTGCGGCTGCAGAGGAAAATGCCATGGAGGGGATGTTGGGAGTGAAGGAGGAGTGGACCAGGGTGTCCCGGAGGGAACGGTCCTTGCAGAGGCTGACAAGAGAGGGGAGGGGAATGTGTGTCTTGTGGCGGAAATGGTGGCTAATGATCCTTTGGATGTGGATGCTGGTGGGATGGTAGGTGAGGACAAGGGAGACCCATCGCTGTTGCGGGAGGGAAGAGAAGGAGTGAGGGCGGAAGTGAGGTCGGAAGTGCTGGAGATGGGTCGGACCCGGTTGAGGGCCCTGTCAACTACGGTGCTGGGGAATCCTCAGTTGAGGAGGAAGGTGGACATTTCAGAGGCTCCCTTGTCAAAATTGACATCATCAGAAGAGATACAACAGAGACAGAGGAACTGGGAGAATGGAATAGAGTCTTTACAGGAAGCAGGTAGTGAGGATGTATAATCAAGGTAACTGTAGGAGTCGGTGGGTTTATAGTGGATATTAGTGGCCAGTCTATCCCCAGAAATGGAAACAAAGATGTCAAAGAAAGAAAGGGAGGAGTCAGATGGAATTTCAATTTTAATTTCAAACCTTTTGCTTCAATTTATTCAGCAAGGCCTTCAGCTTCTGCTTCTCTTTCTCATTCAGAACAGCTTAAAAAAAAATCAAAAAGAGAATTGGATTAATCAGGTTTCAAGTACACTGCATCCAACCTAAATGGAAAATGAAGGAAGGGAGTGAGAGAGTTGGGGAATGCCACAGAATGGGGTCATATGTTCAGTTACCCATTTATAGAATCTTAGAATTCCTACAGTGCGGAAAGAGGCCACTCAGCCCATCAGGTCTGTACAGATCCTCTGAAGATCATCACACCCAGATCCAGCCCTCCACCCCATGCTGTCCTCGTAACCCTGCATTACCCATGACTAATCCACCTAACCTGCACATCTTTGGACTGTGGGAGAAAACTGGAGCACCCGGAGGAAACCCACGTAGACATGGGGAGAATGTGCAAACTCCACACAGATAGTTGCCCAAGGCTGGAATCAAATTTGGGTTCCTGGCGCTGTGAGGCAGCAGTGCTAACCACTAAGCCACGTGCCGCCCATGCTGGCGCCATTTATACACCTGCTTGAATCTAATAACTGGTGGCTGATCTGTTTTAGGCCCTTACTGTGCAGAATCTCTGATTTGTGTGACAAATGCAACTGTTCTATATGGTGTGTGAGGAGGGGGATAAAAGAGGTCGCCCTAGTTAAACGGTTACAAGTCTGCACCTCTTGCCAACTGAGAGGATTGGGCATACAACCTCTTCCTTGGCTTTTGATAATGCTGCCCTGTGACCAGCCTTTAAAATGTGAGAGAGTGTGAGCTACAGCCAATTACACCTCCCTCTGGGCAAGCACTGGACCCTAACTGTCCTGCTCAGATAATGAGCAATCAGGAAGCATCTGAATGTAATAAAATGTGGGCCATATTTCACCGAAGTCAAGCCAGAATTCATAATAGCCTTGATTATAAACAATCTGTTTCTTGGGCTTCATTGTGAAATATGGAGCAAACCGTGGAAGGATCCATTACCGAGAATCCCCAAGGGAGGCTTTCAACACTCAATACAGTTTCAACTTTACCCTGGTAAAGGAGCAGAAACCTTGCAGAATCAGTCCTGTCATCATATTTTAAAATGCCCGCTTGCTGGATGTTTATTGGCACACCAGCAAGACGATACATGAGGTCAGAACATTGAGTATTATTGACGCGAATATTGTTATAACAGCTTCCTTACATGGTCAGCCATATATTTCTAGTGTGGAAAGTGACAACTGGCCTGTCTTGGTACGAGACATGGAACCTGGGCCATACCGTACACCTAGCAAAATAGCAGACACAGCTGAACAGATCTTTTCCAATGTTATGGTCAAAAAATGCTTCTATTCACTCAAAAATATTGCCTCATATTTAATCTTTAAAAGTAAAAATAAGTAGTTCATAAATTAAAGGAAAAGTTACAAATCTTGTCAGTTGGACACTTGATCAGGTCCTCATCTTTGCATCAGTTCCAAGGTTCAGACAGGTGTATGGTGTAAAGATGGCCGCTCTGATCAAGAAACCAGTAAAAATATTCTTTAAAAAAAATGAGGAGAATGGCAAGTTTCAGCTGCATATTTGCTCACTGTTTAAGCTAAAGACTTGCATACAAACATACAAATTTCGAACAGAAGTAGACCACGTAGCCCTCTCAAGCGTGCCCTGCCTTCAATGAGATCATGGCTGATCCGATTACTTTGCATTCCACCTACTCTCCCCATGATTTTTCACCCCCTTGCTAATCAAGAATCTATCCACTTCTGCCTTACAAATATTCAGGATTTTGTTTCCGCCATCTTTTGAGGAAGAGAGATCCAAATACAACCTTTTGTGATTAAGCATTTCTCCTTATCATTGTCTTAAATGGGTGACCCCCTTATTTTTAAGCAGTGACCTTTCAGAACCTCAAGACATCCCAGAGCACTTTACAACAAGGTATTTTTGAAGTGTAGTTACTGCTGTAACATATAAATGTGGCAGATATCCAATACTAAAATCTTCCACAAACAGCAATGCAATAATGCTCTAGTGGTGTGAACTGAGGGATAAATACTGGGCAGAACACTGAGGAGAATTTCCCTGCCCTTCAACAAATAATTACACCAGATATTTTTACATCCACCCAAGAGGATAGATAGCGTTTTGATCTATCATCTGATCTGAAAGGCGACGTCTCCAACAGTGCAACGCTACCTCAGCACTGCACTGCAAGTATCAGCTTGGATTTTGTGTTCAAATCTCTGGAGTGGAATTTGAACCCTCAACCTTCAGACTCAAAGGTGAGAGCACCCATTGACTTCCCAATCACTTAATCAGGGAACAAGCTGAACAAATACTAACAAACGACCCAGGTCTGTTGAAGTGTCAGCAATGGGTAAATTGATAACGCTCGTGTCTCTGAGTCACCAGGTTCTGGTTTCAAGTGCCACTTCACCCATAAAAGCCTAGGCTGAAATGCCAGTGCAGACCTGCGCTGTCGCAGGTGTGGGCTTCTGAATGATACATTGAACTGAGGCCCCAGCTGCCTACACGGATCCCAAGACACTATTTCAAAGAAGAACGAGGGGGAATTGTCCCCAGTGTTTTGGCCAATATTTTTTCCCTCAACCAACAAGACTAAAAACAAATTACTACATTGCTGTTTGTGGGAGTTTGCTGCCACGTTGCCAACATTACAACAGTGACTACCTCTTAAAATATTGCATTGCTTGTGAAGTGCTTTGTAAAATGCTGGATAAGCATGAGTCATTTCTTTTTGATTATTTTGTTGACAAGCACATCTCCAAGGACAGCTCAAGGATCCTGAGGAATCTTGACAGGCTGGATGCAGAGTGGATATTTCCTTTCATGTTAGAATCTAGAACTTGAGGTTACTGTTTAAAAATCAGGGGTCACGCATTTAAAACAGAGACAAGGTGAAATTTTTATGATTTTTTTCTCTCTCAAACCGTTGACAGTCTTTGGAACTCTCTTCCTGAAAAGGTGGTGAAGGCAGAGGCTTTGATTTTTTTTATTTAAGGCAGAGGAGTATGCATTCTTGGTAAGCAAGGGGATGAAAGGTTATCAGAGTAGGTGGGAATGTGAATTTAAGGTTACGGTCAGATCTGCCATGATCTTATTAAATGTCGGCACAAGCTCGAGGGGCTGAATGGCCTACTCCAGCTCCTTGTTCAAATGTTCATAATTGACAGGGGCAGGACATTAAGTGAATAATCTGAATAGTATTGAATCAGGAAGCTTCAAGCTTTTAACTATCCCAAATTGGCCAAGGACGGCAGCAACTAGCCCTGAGTTGGGGCTGGGAAAGAAAATCAGTCAGCCCTGACACCTGATTGATTTTCAGTGCTTACGGTGCCAATTACTGTGTTATGCACATAAAATAACTACACAGAGGCCAGTATCCTGTCACCAAATCACCCCTTATTTACTTGTGCACAGTACATGGGCTCTGACCAGCCAGCTCAGAGCCAGTCCCTACAATGAGGGGATGCTCTGAATCCCCTGTTTATATCTGTCAGCCAAGGCTCCCTGATTGGCCCAGGTTAACAACCCCAATCAGGGATCTCATACTCAATGAGATCCACTTGGCCTTGGTTCCAATCTCTACAGCACACGTTTATAAGTTGGGCAATAATGGAACTGAGCTGTGATTAACTGTCTATACTGAAATATGAACAAAGGCTGGGGGTCACTGGCACCTTTAGAACTGTACCCCAGCACGAGTCAAGCGTCTTCAACAGAAAAAAAGGAAGGAAAGAAAATCTTGGGAGAAGGGTGGGAAGGAACAGAATCACAAAAGTGCAAAACACGCATTTTATATGGATTAATATACATGTCAAGACAAAAGCTACAGAAGGGATTATATTACATTTAATGGATTCATTGCTACATCTGGAAGGACAAGGGCAGCAGATATATGGGCAGACCACCACCTGCAAGTTCCCCTCCACACTGACTTGGAAATACACCGCCATTCCTTCACTGTCACTGGGTTAAAATCCCAGAGCTCCTTCTCTAACAACACTGCAGGTGTATCTGCACCAAATGGACAGCAGCAGTTCAAGAAGGCAGCTCAACACCACCTTCTCACGGGCAAGTAGAAGTGGGCAATAAATGCTAGCTCAGCCAACGATGCCCACATCCCCTGAATAAATGAATAAATAAAAGAAAGAAAAGGAATGAAATCAATTTGTACCTTGAGATTCAATTCTTTTCATGAGCTTGAACTCGCTCTTGTTGAGCAATGTCACTGTCTTGACCTTTGGTGGTCTTCCTTTGCCTCGTTTGACCTTTGGCGATTTTTGAGCTCGTTGCTTGTTCGGATTTGGTGGCCGCCCCCGTCTGCCCATCATGGCTTTAATCCGTAAAGGGATTTCTTCCGCATTAAGCTTACACCACTGCTCACCCTAAATAAATCAGACAAAAAAGTACAAATCATTGCTTTCGATGGACACAAGAAGGGACAAAACAGAGACTTCAGTCTGTGTGAGAAGCCCCATGTAAATGCATCTCATTACACTGTTCTTTAATATGTTTTCGGTAGTGGGAGATGTAATACTAATAGGCTGGATAGGGGTGGTAGGGTCTTGGATCATGCCAACTATTCCTTGCATGTTTTAATTCCAATCTTGTCAGGGAAAAATGCCAAGTGAAAGGTGAATGGTTTGGCAGGAAAGGGAGGACCAACAGATGAGTGAAGAACCTCTAAGTCTCCCAAGCAAAAGTAAAGACACATGGGCTGAATTGTGGGTTGAGATTGCATCCTCACTCATAACATTGGAGAATGTTACGAGATGTAGAAACTTCCTCTTTCCTCAAGAGCCCTTGCTAATCTCAAACTTTGATTAAAATTGGAAGCAAGACACTAAAACCTTAGTGAAGCCAAATGAAATAGTCAAATGTATATTCAGGAACAAAAGCCTGTACAAACCTCAGAGGACTCTCGTGCTTCAAAAAAATCTCCCACATTCATCCTGGGGCTGAAACTGAAATGTTCCCGATTGACTTCTGTCACCGCATTTCGAACCAGGTACTGGAAAAAGAACGGAGAAAAATTGTCTCATCTGTTTCCAATTGACAATTCATGGGTTGACTCTATCATAAAATGAAGGGTGACTAGATAAATCTGATAGGGTTAACTTTTTTTTAAAACAGTCTTTCACTGCTGCTTAATAACCATGTTGTTAGAATTCTCGAGAGAGTAAACACAAGGTTCCTACAATTTGTAAAGCATCTAAACCCTCTGGAGCTTTAAAAGATCTTGTCACATTATGATTTAAAGCAAAAAAGTCTGGTGATCTCACTGGGGAAGGCTGTCACTTCTGGAAAGAAATAGAAACATTTTTCCATCACTAACACGGTTTTAACACTCTTCAGTAAAGCACGTGATGGGTAAAGGCAGTATTCCAGTCACACAACACTGAACCTGTTAAAAGGACATGGTTAGCTGTTAGTCACCGAATGAGAAAGTCTCTCGGGAAAGTCAGTAGAACTACCACCTGCACTGCCTCCCACAGAGTGACCTTTCCACACACACGCACAAACACAAACACAAACACAAACACACACACACACACACACCACCCAATGCTCAGAGAGTTCGCTGGTGGCCAAGGGAGCAGCAAATACAGTGAAGATGAAAAGTCTGCAGTAGTTTGGCAATCCCAACTTCCCAGCTGAGGGAGCCTAACATGGCCATGGTGAAAAAATGAAAAGGTCCGATCCAGTTATTAGTGAGCTATAGGTACACCACACTTTGCAAGAATCAAGCTCAGAGATCAGTCTCAGTCCAACTGTTAAAAATGTTAAGAACAAAACAAAAATAAGGTTGGGACCTAATTGTTTGTGAAGCTTCTTCTGAGAGCAGAACAATGTTCACTGGAATGAAACTGCCCTTTTTAAAAAAAAACTCCTTACATGGGTCTGGTTATATGGGTGGTGACTGCCATCTAGTGCCTTCTCCAAATGGTCAGCATTCCTATTCAGACCTACAGAGTGGGTTTTTATCATGGCTGCATGATCCTCTCCTTGCCCAGTGGTTGCAAACTTTCTAGCAGGAGCAACTGGATAATTCAGGAGCGTGAATCTGAGCTGATCTCCTTCTCTAACCCAGGGGCACTGAAACCAATTGGACCATCAATATCACATAGCTCAGCAGAATCCAAGGATCAAATATATGGAAAAGGAGCAGGAGTAGACCATTCAGTCTGCTGATTATAACCTCAAATCCACATTTCTGCTGACTCCAATAACTTTCACCTCCTTGTTTAACAATAATCCATCTACCTCTGCCTTAAAAATATTCAAGGACTCTGCTTCCATCACCTTTTCATGAAGGAAGTTCCCAAGACTCAAGACCTGAGAGAAAGAAATTCACTTCATCTCTATTTTAATGGGCAATCACTGCTTTTTAAACAGCAACTCCTAGTTCTAGCTTCTCCTACAAGTGGAAGTATTCTCTCCACATCTACCCTGTCACAACCCCTCCAGATTTATCTGCTTCAATCAGCTCAGTTGGCTGGACAGCTGGATTATGATGCAGAGTGATGCCAACACTGAGTTAAATTTCCATACCGGCTGAGGTCACTATGAAGCATTCTCCTTCTCAATCTCTCCCCTCGTCTGAGGCATAGTGGCAGTCAGATTAAACCAATTCCAATCATCACTCTGTAATGAGACAGCAGCCGTATGGTCTGGTATGCCTTCATGTGGTGCAATCAAGTCACCTCTTACTGTTCTAAATTCCAGTGGATACAGAGCTAGCTTGGCCAACCTTTCTTCCTATGACAACCTAGTCATTCCAGGTATTAGTCTGGTAACCTTCTCTGAATAGCATCCAATGCATTTACATCCTTCCTTAAACAAATAAGGTGACCAATACTGTGCACAATACTCCAGATGCATTCTCAATACTGCCCTGTATATTTCCTTTTGTTTCAATTCCCTTTGTGATTAAATGACAAAGTTTTGTTACCTTTCCTAATTTCTTGCTGTACCTGGATACTAACCTTTTGTGATTCATGCACTGGGACACCCAGATCCCTTTGGAATTCAGAACGCTGCAAACTCTCAACATTTAGATAATATGGTTCTTTTTAATTCTCCCTGTTAACATGGACAACTTCACATTTTCCCACATTATACTTCATTTGCCTCATTTTTGCACAATCACTTAACTAATAGATATCCTTCTGCAGTGTCCTTATGTCCTCTTCACAACTTACCTTCCTATCTTTGTGTCATCTGCAAATTTGGCGGCCAAACCCTCCGGCCCTTCATGCAAGTCATGTATATAAATTGTAAACAGTTGATGTCCCAGTTCTGATCCCTGTGGCATATCAGTCGTTACAACTTGCCAACCTGAAAAAGACCCATTTAAGCCTACTTTCTGCATCACGTTAACCAGCCAATCTTTTATCCATGCTAATATGCTATCCCCTACACCATGAGCTCTTATTTCGCAATAACATTTGATGTGGCACTTTATCAAATCTCTTATGGAAATCTAAGCACAATACATCCACTGGTTTACCTTTATTCATAGTACAGATTACTTCCTCAAAGGACTCCAATAGGTTGGTCAAACACGTTTTCCCTTTCACAAAACCATGTTGACTCTGCCTGATTACCTTAAACTGATCTAAGTGACCTGGGAACATTCAATCCTAGTCTATATACATTCCACTGACATGACTAACAGCAGGACTGAAAGAGGTCTGGACACTTGTGAATATCTTTATCACACACCAAAGAATTGGCAATGGGTAGAAAGCAACTCTTCCAACACCTCGCTGTGTAGCTCTGAGCCAGAGGTGTCAAGCTAAAAATTGATTTAAAATCAACCACTGTTTGGTGACCAGAAGCAGAAACAGCAAGCTCGGCCTGTCAGCAGATGAGAAGTGAATCTGGGCACAAACCCATGCAACATCCTTCTCCACTCCAAAACAGATTCAAAAAGTCCCATTGCACTCACTGTCTCTGCTCACAGGTGAAGAATGGCACTGGGAAGAGTTAAAAGAGGGGGGCATCAGCAAACCCACTTTCCAATAAGAAGTTAATGCCTTCTGGAGGGGAGGGAAGTTACCCAGACAAAAATAAAAACCTTTATTACAGTATCTCCCACAGTTATCACACACTAGAAAGCTACCCACATTGTGCAGTTGTCTTTTTTTCTGTTAATTACCTTAATAACTTCAGGGAACTGACGTAGCCTCTTTCCACAGGGGGCGTAATATGTGGTTTCCCCATGCAAGCGGCTCCCAACAGTCCTGATTCTGATCTCACGCCTCCATCTGACAAACACAATAACTTTATTATTTGGGAAGCAGAAATCAAATACAAATTTATTTTTTTAAAAAGCATCTCTTTCTCTTTGCTCCCCTTTCAATTAACGGTGTGACTCTGAATCTTGAACCGTTGCTGTCAGAGGAGTTGAACAGACAGATGAGACATTGAGTAAATTCTCTTGCACTTAAAAGCATTAGAGGTGATTTGACTGAAATATGCAGATTTCTGAACAGCTGGACAGGATAGACACTGAAAGGTTGTTTCCTCTTGGCTGTGCAATCTGGAACAAGGGGTCACAGTCTCAGGGTAAGGGGACCATCATTTAGGACTGAGAGGAAGAGAAATTTCTTCACTCAAAGGGTTGTGGATTTTTGGAATTTTCTACCCTGGAGGATAATGAATGCTCCATCATCAAATATATTTAAGGATGAGATAAGACAGGTTTTTGATCTTGCCGGGAATCAAGAAACTCAGGGAACAGGTGGGGCAAGTGGAATTGACACTGAAAATCAGCCACGATTTTATTCAATATTGAATGGTACAGCAGGCCATATGGTCTGCTCCTGCTCCTCTACTTTATAGACTCAGAC